CGCAGGAGCCGGGGCGGAGAGCCCGGCCCCTTGGGGCCTAACGGGAAGGCATGTGCCGTTTGCTCCGTGCTGCCTTCGGCCATCGGAGCAGTCGCTCTTCTATTGTTAGAGAAGGTAAAATGCCCAGCAAAAGATGAGTTTGGTCGGATTGGGACGCTTCTTGTACATAGACGCAAAGCGAGGAGAGATGCTGTGTCACAGCTGTCGGCTACGACCTTACTAGTGCGCCGGTGTATTTGCTGACCGGATCAGTGGGGTGATCGTCCCCTAGAAAGATGTTAAAAGGCAACTGCTTTCTGGAATGAGACCTGACGTTTTCACTGATATCGGAATGACAGAAGCTTGGTGTTGCATTAGCCTGTGAACCACACTAGGTTTATTTTCCAGGGTAATGGGGATACGCCAAAGCATTGAAATACAACAAGGGAAAGTGTAGGGTCCTACATCTGGGCAGGAACAACCCCAGGTTCCAGTATAGGTTGGGGTTAGTAGATCTGGAGAGGTCCTCCTGCCCCTCTGCTCTGCCCTGGTGAGGACACATCTGGAATCTTGTGTCCAGTTCTGGGCCCCTCAGCTCAAGAGAGACAGGGAACTGCTCGAGAGAGTTCAGTGCAGAGCAACTAAGATGATGAAGGGAGTGGAACATCTCCCTTATGAGGAAAGACTGAGGGAGCTGGGTCTCTTTAGTTTGGAGAAGAGGAGACTAAGGGGTGACCTTATTAGTGTTTATAAATATATAAAGGGGGAGTGTCACAAGGATGGAGCCAGGCTCTTTTTGGTGGCAAACAATGATAGGACAAGGGGTAATAGAATCAAGCTGGAACACAAGAGGTTCCACTTAAATTTGAGAAGAAACCTCTTCTCAGTGAGAGTGACAGAGCCCTGGTCCAGGCTGCCTAGGGAGGTTGTGGAGTCTCCTTCTCTGGAGACATTTAGAACCCGCCTGGACGCCTTCCTGTGTAACATCATCTAGGTGTTCCTGCTCTGGCAGGGCGATTGGACTAGATGATCTTTTGAGGTCCCTTCCAATCCCTAGCATACTGTGATACTATGATGCTTCTGTTTAATCCCCTTCTTTGACCCCACATAGAGTGTCAGTTGAGTTTATTTAGCCCTTTCCAAATATCCAATAATCTTTTTTTTCTAGGCAAAGCAGGTGGCTCAAGCATTCTGTTTTGGGAAGAGCTGGGGAAGGATGTGTGTGGAAAAAAAAAATACAGTTTCAGGTAGATACTTTTTAAGAGGACAAGTATTTTGGAGCCTATTTGTACTACAGTGGTGAAAGGACAGATTCATGGTTTTGAGCCCCTCTTGCAAAATATCACATGCTGGATCTGAATTTCGTACCTTGAAGCCAGCCCTGAGTGTTGACATGGAGCGTGCTGGTGACAAATTGTTGAATACGGAACAGCTTTCATTATTCTCGGTGTTCATTCCAGTCGGTCCTGGTCTATGCAGAGCATGGGAAATGCTTGTAGAGGAAGCCTCCATTTTGATTGCTGTGCCTGTCTCATCTAAATCTGGTGCTCCTGAGTTTGCTTTCAAGTTTTTGAGACATTAAGGCGTATACTTTCCAGATTCCTGCATGGGATGCTTTTTGGCTAGGAGCATGGAAAATGTCTCGGGTTTTCTTGGGTTTCAGTGATAAGCCGTGTACTGGGTGTGTGTGAAATTTTTATGTCTGCAAAACGATAGGTAGTAAAAATTATTTTGAATGCTAATTAAATAAATGTGTACTATATGTAAGGGTACGATCCACGCAGTAAAATGATGTTTTGAGACTCTTTCAGTTTGCTGGCTTAGAGAACTCAGTTATGTTTGGATACCCAGGAGGACTAATGAAGTGTAGCAGTGGAAAATACAAGATGCAAAACACTGGAGACCGTTGAACTCAGTATTTCAGTACGTTGTAGAGAAACTCGGGAATCTAGAAAATGCTAAGCTGGTATATGCTAGTTTGCCATGCAGTACTCTGGCACTTTCAGTCAACTAATCAAAATAAAGTTGAATCAGAAAACCATCACACTTGTGTCATGTAATTAAAATACCAGAGATTTATCTACAAGTAGAAACACAAGGAGCATCCTTTACGGCATTAAGCAACGAGCTGGAGAATCCCACATTTCTTTCTGATCCTGTTTGTGTGTCCCTATGGCTGTTCTGCAAGCATTAGTCCAGTGAATTCCCTGAGACGAACAAGATTTTAAATGCCCTGGAATATACAAAGCTTTTTATCTTCTACTGGCAATTATAATCATACATTCGGTTTTGCAGTGTGCTCTCAGCAACAAGAAAAATCAGCAATAAAAGCATACAGTGGGATTTCTGAGCAACAGAAGTAGCCTTATTTGTTGTAGCATTCTTAGTACCCGTGACCAAGGTTGATGGAGTGACACTGCTAGTAGCTTCGATGAGTTAGATGTAATTATAGCGTGGTCTGCATCGGAATGCCCGGCGGATGTAAATTCCTTTGGGATGTGCTTTTAGGAAGCCCTGGAGCACCTCTTTGTGATGGCATATACCTGCACGCTGTCTCTGTCTCTGTGTGTGTGGTGTTTATTGGTGCTTTTAGACGTTCTTCCTGCAGCGTGCTTTTTTTTTAATGTCTTTTCAGACAGTGACGTAGCCCTTCTATCTTGAGAATAGGGAAGTATTTGCCCCTTTCAGCATCGGCTTTATCCAAGATACCGTATGATTATATAATAACATAGTAATTTTCATGTTGTTACCTGCATAGCAGAATAACTGCAGGACTCTGCTCGATTCAGGTTAAACTGAACACTTGAGAGAAAGAGGTACCAGGAATTTATTATTTTACGCGATTGCCACATTTCTCGCATACTCGAGCTTAGGTATTATCTTTGCTCGTTTCAGGACTGACTCTGAATAGCAGTCCAGAAAGAAGAAACAATCGTGTTGATTTAAGTTGAACATTTGTCTCTAAGATTAAGAACAAAGCCATGCCGGTGCTTTCGGAAGACTCAGGTAACTAATATGCATGCTTTTAACAGACCAGTGGCTGAAATCTTGGTGTATGTGTTTCACACAGAAAATGAATACAAGGAAGGTGGAAATGAATAAAGTTATTCAGATTTCAATAAACAGTTTTGTAAACACCCTAGAGCCTCTGAATATGTGCTACTTCTTATTATTTTATGAATGGGTGTTGCTAAGCTTTCTTAATATCTTTTCTTTTGACTTACAAAACAGTGATTCCATTCAAGGCAGCCTAACTAGCTTCTACAGTACACTACCCAGGGTGAAGTCGTATAAGTTAACAATACTGAGTTATAAAGGAAAAGTGAGTTTGAGTCTCCTGGATCCAAAGGCACTCTGAAGTTCATGGCGAGAAGAGGCAGATTTTAACCTGCTCCCCTCTGCTCTTTTTTTGTTTTGTTTTGTTTTGCCGATGGTGGTTGGTTTTTGTTTTTCCAGTCATGATCCACGGGGAAGAAAACTGGTTGTCTGGCCCTGTGCACTGCACAATTGGAATAGTGATCATTTTAGCACTTTTTAGAAAACTAGCCACGAGCTTTGCTCCCACTGCAGTAGAAACATACACAGTCCTTTCCTCCCCTGGTCAGGCCTCGGTGCTGTCAGATGCCTCAGAAGTAGCAAGGGCTTCATAACACTTGTAAGCAAAGTTATTCGAGAAGTAGAGCTGGTACCTATGCGACTCTGCTGCGGCACTCTGGTAGCTCAGAGTTTGTTAGAGGACTAGCTGTTCCAGAGACAAAGGGTAGTTAACACAAAAGGGGAAACTTCAAAAGTAATGTCTTTATATTGCTTTCGTAGGTTTTGCCTTAATATGATACATGTTATATCTTATGCTGCGTTTGCCACTTAAGAAGGGAGCATGATTAATGGTTGCCAAGATGGTACCCAAGCAAGTGTAGTCAGTGTTAAGTCTGCAGTAGAAGGCCCCGTGAGACATGCTGTCTACAAAGCTTTTGTTCTCTCTTGAATTTAAATTTAGGATTGCATGAAGCTTTGGCCCTTTTGACATCTCAGTTAAGACCTGATTCAAATCATAAAGAGGAAATGGGATTCCTTAGAGATGTCTTCAGTGAAAAGAGTCTCAGCTACCTGGTGAAGGTAAAAGCTCGTTCACGAACGTACGTTTTCCTCAAAGGCTACTTACCCTCTGTTCCCTTGATGATTTAGCAACTGTTTGCCATATTTTTTTTTAAATAGATTTCTACACTGAGCAAAGCATGTATTTACTTAAGCAGAAATATTAAGAGTGTTTGTTGACAATTAACATATTTTATTCAGAAAGAAAACATTTCTGCCTTAATTGCCAAAATGCAGATACAGTGGCCACGTAGCTAAAAAACAGTGTGAAATGGTTTCAGTATTTTTCCTTGTGATGCTGAAGTCTTAACAGGTTTTCTGGCTGTGAGAAAAAAGAAAACAAAAGACTCCTAAACAGAACAAAAATAACTCTAAGAGAGGTAATTTTTCTGACACTTACCTCAAAAGTTATATTACTTAAATATAAAAGTATTCCAGTTTAGGTGTATTTAGGAAGTTTTGTATCTCTCCGTTATAATACACCTGAATAATCTTTTTCAGATTCATGAAAAACTCCGTCATTATGAAAGACAGAGTCCAACTCCTGTTTTACATACTGCAGCAGGATTAGTTGAAGATGTAAGTAAATATTCTTGCCTCCTTATTTTCTCCTTATTTAAGCCTTCTTTTCTAACAAATCAAAGCTTTGCAGTTGTGCTGTATGTACATATTTCTCATCTCCCAGCCAACTGTCTTTGGAATCTGTTAGCCGGTTTTGCTCATGATTGATCAAGGAAATGAGAACTCAAAAATACCGTGTCCTTAAATGTTCAGTGAAGACGCCCATCAGTAGTAGAACAGAAGGATGTTAGTAGTTGCCTTCGTAATGGAGAGGCTGCAAACAGCATTTGTCCTTTCTTGACAGTAGATTATCCCAGCTAAGCATTCAGTCTTTAGGATTTAAATCCATTACAACCCAAGCACCGTTGTTGTTCGTATAAAATGGTTTGGGTTGGAAGGGACCTTGAAAAGTCATCTAGTCTAACTGCCCTGCGGTGGGCAGGGCCACCTTTTACTAGGTCAAGTTGCTCAAAGCACTGTCCAACCCGTCTTAGAACATTTCCGGTGGCAGGGCATCCACAGCTCCTCTGGGCAACCTGTTCCATAACATTCATCATAAAAAAAAAAAAAATTTCTTCCTTATATTCAGTGCGAATCTGCCCTCTTTCAGCCTAAAATTGCTGCTCCTTGTGCAGTCGGTATAGGTCCTGTCAGTATAGGGCAACAGAGGAACTTCTGCGGCGTGACTCGTGTGAGTACCGCAACCTGGTTACAATGAGGATTAAAGCCCTTTATCGTGGTGTGAGCACAAGAGTGTTGTTTCAAATATTACTAACGGATTGCATATAGAATATAGAATTTCAGAACTTATTTCAGAAATTATATTGACAGTATCCCTCTTTAAATGTATGTCTAGGGACTAGGTTCCTGATTTCGGATGATGTCTTCCTCCACCGTCTAATAAAAATAAAATCGATGAAGAAGCTTTCATTTCTGTTAGGATTTGTGCACTATTGATTTGGATTGGTTTTGGTCTGTGCATGCTACTTTGAAGGATGGTAGCAGTTAGGAAACATGTACCAAAAAACACTCACTTGCAAATATATGATCTTGTTTGGTGGACACCTTTTATTTTGAGGTTGTTAAATTTTATTTTCAAGGTGATAGAAGAATTGCAGACTGCACCAGTGAGTAATGACGAAAAAGAGCTACTTCAGCTGTTGTCAACACCACATCTCAGGGTAAAAAACACACCAGAGACCTTAACAATGTTCCTTTGCAGAATTCCAATAGAATTCCAATTTTGTAATGGAAAAGTTACATTGCAGAGTGCCTAAGAGAAAGGAAAATCTCCTACAAACTGTAGTTCTATTCCAGTGTGATGTCCTGCATGGGCTTTAGGATGCAAAGGGGATTGAGAAGACACAGAGTAGGCCTTTCACGCATAATGCACCGTGTTGTCTTTCCTCCCCTCCTTAAAGTTTTCTGAGGGAGCAGAAAGGGATACTGTTTCTAAAGTTTCTGCTTTCTGTAGTCACCTCGATTCTGTAAGTTTATTTAGCTGAGCTTTGTTATTGCTGGGATTTACTTAACTATATATCGGTGTATGTTGATATTTTAATGTGTTCGGTAAGAAAATTGCTAAATCTTTTGCTGGGGATTTATGGCGATGGTGGGGAGGGGGAGGTTTATGTTTGCCGTAATGTTGGAAACATAAGAACTGGAAACCATAATATTATTCCATTACTGTTTCTTATTTCCTTTATGCAGGCAATGCTTGTAGTACATGACACTGTAGCGCAGAAGAACTTTGAACCGGTCCTTCCACCTCTACCTGATAACTTCGATGACGATTTTGATGAGGAATCGGTGAAAATTGTTCGGCTAGTGAAAAATAAAGAACCCTTGGTAGGTATAAAGATAACCCCTCTCTAGTCACAAAACTCTAGTGCAAAAGCATTACTGTGAGTATGGAGGAGATACTTGAAGATGTTATCAAATAGTCTGCACAAACTAGGGGTGTTCTGAAGCTAGTAAAATAAAGGAAAACTAGTAAATACACCTCCACAATTTTGTGTGAGGTGCTTTATAGGCACAGGTTTAAAATGCCAGTTAACACAGGGAACGCAATCTCAGAGGAAACTGTATGTTGAAGCAGTTATGCTTCTATGTGTAACAAGTGTTTTCATACTGTAGCTAACATTAAATGAATTAATACCTTAATTTGCACTAAGTCAGGCATATGTGGTAGGAGTATGTTTGATAGCCATATGTAAACATTGTCCTGACAAGGTACTAATTCATTCAAATGGAGATGGAAGAACTGATTTCCTAAGAAAAAACAATTGTGTCAGGGAAGAAGTCTGCTAAAGTGCTTTTTATGTATGACCGTAGTAGAAGAGAGCAGTGACTCAATTCCTGGTTAAAACTTCCTATTGCCAGCAGGGGTAGGAGAAGAAGAAAAGATCTAAATATTTGGTTTTACTTGCTTTTATATGTAAAGTGCCAGCTGTATTGTATAAAGACAAACAGAAAGCTGCTTCTAAGAAATTCTGTTTTAGGCACTTGAGTGACCTTGATCACCGCAATCTTCACAAAGTCGGCAGAAAGGAAGATGTACACGCCTTCCCACATTGCATGACATGGGCACAGACAAAAGTTGATTAACAGTGAAAATTGTCAAGGAGAAAATTTATAGAACAAAATTAATTCCTGTTCAAAAGACACATTAGCTTATGCATCACCACATTGCATGCTGTATTTAAGCAAATTTCTTATGATGGTTTCTTAGGGGGGCATGTTTTATTTCAGGGAGCTACCATCAGAAGAGATGAGCATACAGGAGCTGTGATTGTAGCAAGGATCATGAGAGGCGGTGCTGCGGATCGCAGTGGTAAATTTATGAAGAAAAGGGGATTTAAAATTGCATTTCTAAATTTTTTAAGTTTCTAAAATTACGCACTCACATGTACTGTACACATACACCTAGAGCAATAATCTTTAAATCTGATGGTTATTTAATCTGAAACGAGTCATTTGGATGCAGATGTTTATTAAATATATAGACTACTCTGTAAAAAAAAAAAAAGGAAAACATAACAGCTTATTGAAATCTCAATAGGCAACGTTAGATGTCAAGTCTGAACTAGTGTGTAGACAATCTATATGGTCAGTGGAGGGAGCTGGACGTTGCTGGAGAACAAATAATCTCAATGAGCTTTAGAATAGGATAGGTCAATGCTGGAATTGCCTTTCTTCCTTACTAATAGTCAATAAAGAGAACCTACTTGGTAATCTCGCAACAACTGAACTTCTGATGTCGAGTGATGGGAGAGACTTATGTGTGTAGGCTGTCATCCAGCATGCTTTCAGAATCTACAGGGTTAACCTTCCATTTCTTACAAGGAGATCAACCAGGTCATAATAAATAAGCTGAACTGGCTTTATGAGATTTATAGACTCCAAACCTCATGCACTTTTTTAATATACAAGTAGTGCAATCCCTACATTAATAAATTACTGTGATGTAAAAAAATGTTAGCTAATCACAGTTTTCTTGATTGTTATTATTCTTCAGATTAATGTAATCTGATAAGTGTAATGTGAAATGACTAGAGTGTACGCTTAGTGTTTCTGTATCTCATCAGTGTTAAATTATATATGTTTTTCTCTAACATAGCCACTGGGAAAAAATACCAACAGAGATGGAAGTAGTAGATCCAAGCTTTAGAAGAAAGAAAAGAAAATGTGGGGTTTTTTCCTTTAATTTAGTGTCTCGTTTTAATCGGTGTCTCATGTTGTTTTGTGTTTGCTTTACTGAGAAATTCTTTTGTTTCAGTTAATACTAGCTATATAACATGAGTACAGCATTTCTTACTGGACTAGATGAACAAATTCAAAACGTGTAAGGGCCTCTGCATGGACTGTTAAAAAAAAAATTAATCCAACATTCTTTCTGGGATGGTATAGTGTTGATCTGTCAGTTGATGGCCATGTCATTCCTGCCTTCGTAGTCAGCAGCGTGTCTCCTGACTTAACAAGATTTGATCGTCTTCATGAAACTATTCCAGTTTTGCATTCTTGGTGCTTATCCAAATATAGAGGCAGTGATTTTACAGAGAATCTTGCCATGTCTTCTGTAGCTTCACGCTGGTCTTCTATGAGACTGTGCCACATGAGGGGGGAAAAAAAAGCTGCACGAAGTAAAGGCACTTGGCTCTAGTAGGAAATCCATTAAGCTGGGGGAGGGAGGAGGCAAGGTGCATGCTTTTGTCTTAGCTCAGACATCAGAGGAGTGGTGCGTTCCAGTCTGTAGACTTATCTTAATTTATTTACCATCTTTTCAGGTCTTGTCCATGTTGGAGATGAACTAAGAGAAGTCAACGGTATTAATGTGCTTCACAAACGACCGGAAGAAATAAGTCAGATTTTGGTCTGTGCTGTTTTTCATTTCAGAATCTTTTCTGTTGGGTTATCTAGCAATTAGAATAGATGATAAAATTTAACCATGCGTTTGAAATATGAATAGAGATAAAAGATGCAATGCCTGCTTGTCTTTGCATTAAGAGGTTTTTTCCTCCTTTTGACTTCAGAAATGTCTGGAAACTTTATTGCTACCAAGTAAGATGCAAATGCACAGTTACATGGTGCTCTGTCGAGAACTCTTTCATGCTTTGCTTATGACAAGCAAAATACAAACTAAAAGTGCTTTCCTAGAAGATAAACAGTTCATTCATAATGTAGTATGTTAGGAAGCGGAAGAAAGTCTCAGCTGTGTGTCCATGAGAGCTGTCAGTCTGTTCTTTACCAGCAGATTCCTTGCGACATTAGCAAATTCTTGCTTCGAGCTTCTCTAACATGAATGGCTACAAATCCTGGTAGAAAGTGGCCTACCTCTTATGCTTATTTGTGTCTGACTTCCCTCTTGTGGCTTGTTTCCCCCTTGCCTCTGTCTAAAGTGGAGTTAGGGACACGGTAAGAAGAATGGTAACACTAGTAGACTGAAGTACCTGGCCTCGGTTCCCTCACCTGATTTAAATTTAGATCAAAATAATCCTGAATAAGGAGAATGACTGCTTTTAACTTGGAGAGGAGGGAGAATTTTGAAATACTGTGTAAAGTTTGATTTGTGAGGACCCTGGGATGCTGTTCATCTGTCCCATTTTAAATGCCTGAAATATGAGAGTGTCCTTTTCACAGTTGTGTGTTTTGAGGAAGAGCTAAAGTGTTTGTCCAAGCTAGTTGTCCAGGTTTCCTTTTTATTCTATGCAGAATAGTTTGCTTCTCTTGTTCTTGTTCATCTTGTCCAGAATAAGGCATCTAAAGTAGATCAGATAAACCAATTCTGGATTATCAAAGCACTTAGAAGCCCTTTTTAATATGCTAATTTGCTAAATAATAATTGACGTTTACTGGCAAAGATTTTGGGAGTGAAAGTAGACGTTTACTTTGTAGATGTTTACATTTCATCCTAACCGGTTAGTCACTATGTGGAAAAAAATACTCCAGTATTTTTCGAAGGACCCCTGGAAAATGGTTAGTCTGCAAAAACTTGTTAGTGTTGTTGTACTAAAAGCCACATAAGTATTTAATGTCCTGTGAACTGTGATCCAGAAATTAATGCAGTTGCTAAAAGCTAATGCAGGATTTTACTGGAACTGGAGTAGTCTGCATTGTGTCCTTGTCCTGCTTTCAAAGTAAAAAAATATTTCTCTCTTTCTCAGGCTCAGTCTCAGGGATCAATAACATTAAAAATAATTCCAGCCATCAAAGAAGAAGATCGTCTAAAAGACAGCAAGGTATGCTACTTAGTGGAACACCGAAACACATGTTTTCTTATTTATGCAATTCTGGCGTCTTCGTAAATGCAAGATTCCTGAGGAATGTCACAGACTCATAATTGAGCTAAAAAGATAGTAGAGCGGTGTCTTGTTGTGAAATGCAGTGCCCTTTTATCCAGTAAAATTACTTAGATGACCTCTCTCTTCATCATCTTGGCACACGTTCTTTCATAGCATTTCTGAAATACGGTGTTGTTCTGAACCAAAAGTTCACGTAATTAAAATTGGTGTGTCTGCCAGTCTCTTCTTACCGTGACAGCTGCTATCTGTCCGTTATCTCTGGATGTTTTTCCACTTGCTTGAATCAAAACAGATCTATTTGCAGAGTTGCATTTATCATTGGACTCCATTACCCACTGCAGACATCAACACGCCTCTGAGTGGTTCATTTGCCCTCCTTGATCAGCGATGACTGTTTGACTAGTCCCTTAGAAGATTCCTCTGTCAACTTCTATTTCTGCTTCCCTGCTCTCAGTTGTCAAATTTTTCCCAGAAGCCCCACAGTTCAATAATTCTACTGTGATGTGTTAATTGGCGGTAAGATACAAATTCAGAGTTGAATAGTAGATATTGATGCATTAAAGGAACATTTTAAGGACAGTCTTTATAATCGGGCAGCTTTGCCATAAATCCTTTTTTATTATCTTCTCCCTCCTCTTTCTCCCCTTAATTTTTTTTTGTCCTTTGTTTGTTCCATTTTGCACTTGTGGAGACTGCGAACCGTGTTTCTTAGGACTTCGATTTTTGAGACCTGTGTTCCGCTATGACGATACCTAACGACTGGGTACGCGCTTGAAAGTTAGTTTGTTTTTCTGCATAAGTGAGTAAGTCAAAATACAGGTGCAACTTGCTGAGTGGATTAGCTTGGCCTTTTTGAGCACCGTAAAGGATAAGGGAGAGATGACCAGTATATATAGTTAGCAGTGTGAGCACTGGGGAAGCCTTTTAAAGTAGTTTGAACTTCCAAACAGGACAATACAGGATTTGTTATTTTCTTTTAAAGGTGTTTATGAGAGCGCTTTTCTGCTATAATCCCAAAGAAGACAGAGCCATTCCTTGCCAAGAGGCTGGGCTGCCATTTAAGAGACGACACATCCTAGAAGTCGTAAGCCAAGATGATCCCACATGGTGGCAAGCAAAGCGTGTAGGAGATACTAACCTCAGAGCAGGCTTGATCCCCTCAAAACAGTTCCAAGAAAGGTTTGTCAATGAAGTTTACAGTTGGGGTTTTTTTCATGTGTATAGCATCACGCTGATATAAGCTGTTTTTTTCACAGGTAATGAAGGGTGGAATCATGTGAGGGTGAATTCCAGATGCTTAGAGGAAAGCACTAAAAAGCTCCTTCTTCTCCAATTGTATACTAAGTTTCCTAGCTTTCCAAAGCTAGTTTCCCATTAGCTTACACCTTGTAGCATGAGGACAGAAGCACTTGCTCAACAAATACGTTTGAAATTAAATGTCAGTCTCTTCCCCTTCTTAGCTTATGGATATGCTTTCACAGACCTCTGTTTCCGTAGTATAAGAGGAAATGCTGCTTTATTGGAAAAATTTTGAATTTATGCATGTAGCAGTGGTAAAAAAAGTGTATCTGATCTTTCTTCTGGCACTTAAGAGAGTGTTTAGCTTGGAACTAGACGCTTAGTAGAGCTTGAAGTTCCTCTGGTTTTGCAGCAAGATATGTGTATCTTCTAAAGCCAAAATAATCCCTCAAGTCTTGTATTTACACTATAAAAGCCTTATAGTTAAGAAGAAGTCTGATTTAGGCCTCTAGTATCATTGTCTGCTTCTTCCTCCAAATTACTGGGCATTTCTTTGCATTGTAGGTGTTAACGAAGGTGGGGTATCTGAGAATTAAAGAGGTCTGATTCTGTTGCTGGCCCCCAGGTTTTGCATAAAGTTTCTAATAGAGGACTTCACTATGTGAATGCTCTTTTGAAATACTGGGCAAATTCTGCCTGAGCAGCTGTGTCCTTCCTGTGCACACACAGATGTAAACATATGCTGGTGCTCTGCAGTCTCGGGTTGTTTTTTTCCCCCCAGTATTGTAAACTACATTTCAATGTATGCAAGTATATAGAAATTGCTCCAGTGTCTGTTTCCCCTGAGTGGGACTGTGTAAATGCCTGGGCCTCTTCTTCAGCCTGTTACGAATATTGGTCTGTTGTAAAATCCACTTTGGAAGAAAATGTGGTTTCTTTTGCCAACAGTGAGGGGTTTCTTGGGGGTTGGATTTTTGTGCTGAGTTGTTGGGGTTTATTGGTATCAGGTTTTTGAGGTGGGGAGAGGGTGAGGTTTTCTGGGCAAATTCAAGACTGTGAGGTTAGGAGTTGAGGTCTGGTCCATTATTTTAGCACTTCAGTAAATTATACCTGATACTCTGTTCTTATATTTCACACAAGCTGGATAGCTTGTTTGGTTTACTAGTAAATAACAGAAAACTCCAAAGTGATCTGGACGGCACTGGATAATTTCTGAGTATGCATAGCTGCAGTGACCATTTTGGATGAGGGTTATCTACTTTTGAGTTCTCTTTGAGTTTAGTAGTTTTATGATTGTGGCGTACTGGAATATTTTGCCCATCCTTTGTAAAAATGGCAAATAGAAGTTAGATTCTCAGCAGAATTAGAATAGAAAAGTTGTTTTCTTAGTCTTGCAGAAAAGATCGGGTATGAAAAAGAAAATAGAAAAAAATTGCACTGACAAAAGTAATATGCTATTGATTTCTGTGCTCTGTGGTGTATGAAAGCCTAAAATGGTTTAGAATCTTGTTTCCGTCACTTACCAATCACAATCTGAGACCATCATACTTGTAAAGAAAAAATCTTTTGAAATGTTGAATCCGTGATATTTTACATTTTTTAAGGAAAAGCACTATTTTGTTCTTTATTTTCAATGCTGTTTGTATAACATGCTATAAATTCTTCATAATTCGGAGCTCTGTCTAAAATATAATTATTTTCTATTTAGACGATTGACTTACAGAAGAACAGTAGGCACTCTGCAGAATCCCAGAACTGTGAAGAAACTATTATGTGAGTGGGTCTGTTCCTTCAGTGAAGTCTTAATTGATACCATCTTTTTCAGTATGTTATTTCAGTAATGATGTGTTTGAACATGTGTAATTTGTCATTGCTTGATTTGCATGGATACACATAGCAACACGAGAGGATTTGGGGTTAAGCAAGTGTCGCTAGTGCCTACTTTCAAAAAACGTAGCTGTCCCTCTCTTTGTACTTTGAAGAATGTGATCCTTACACGTTGTTTAGATGCTTTAAAATTTGCTAGTGTTCACATTTTCCTACAGTTTGAAATTTGCAGAAGTAACCCAACATTTCTTGAAATTCTTAATTGTATGAAATGATTCTAAGCTTGTATGAAAATAAACTGCAGCTTTAAAGAGGATAAAAATCATTGGAGCTGGCAATCCCATCTGCATTTCAGGCTTAGTGTTACAGAGCTGGTCTTAGTAGACTTTAGAGGAATTCTTGTTTACAGCTCTGAAGCATCTGCCAGTGAAATATTCACAGAATAACTGCTACTTGTGATGACAATCCTAGTCAGTGATGAAAAGCAGAAGACATTCTGCATTATCCCAGAATGCAGCGTTCCTGCTGCTGTAGGGAACTTTAGCCCAGCTATTATTGATGTGTGGAGCAGCCCCGTGACTCTGTGAAGCCAGGCATCATTCCAGGGGAGCCACCCTCAGGTAGACTGGGAACGTGGAAATTGTCCATCTTAAGTGATAAAAGTGAACTTCTGCCCTGTGGGGCATGGCACATCTCGTGAAGACATGCAGGTATTCTTATGCTACAAAGAGGAGGGAGGATGCCCAACCAAATTACAAGATAGCACTACTGAATTAAATGAAGCTTTCCCAGAATAATTTTCATTACATTTAATGTTAGGAGGCACGTATTGAGGATTGCTACTTCGGCTTTTTTGCAGATGTTCTGGAGACAATTAAGCTGATAACTGGTTATAGTACTCAGTTGTAGGGGAAAAAAAGTGTTTAATCAGTTGATAGAGTATATTACTGTATTTTTTTTTTTTAAAGATAGAAAAGCATGTTTAGCAAGTCAGACCGGAAGAATCTTCCTTTCCGTTCCCTCTAATTTTACTCAATCATTTGCCAGTCCTGTAATACCATACCAACTCTGTTTTTCATGCTGACTACAGATGATCAGTCTTCTGATAGAGGTAAGTACCCTCCTAACTCATTTTCTGTCTGAATATAAACAGGAGGGAGGGGTAGGTTGGCTTTTTTTTTAATGTAGATTTGCATATTCTTTTCCATACAGGCATATGACAAAAGCATCATTTTTTTTACCTTTTTAATGAAGAATTAATAAGTAATCATAATTTAACTTAGTTAAAATGAAGATGTGTAAGAGCTCATACTTCAATGATCTCTGATTCCCTTTTTTCAAGCCCAAATTATATTGAAAGGTCAGAAGAGTCAGTATTGGAACATAATGAAGTCACATGTTAAAAAAAGAAAAAAGAAAGATCTTTGTGTTTGCAGAGTCTTCTTTTTTACTTAGGTCTGAATATACTTTTGGCAGCAGCAGTGGTCAAATTTAATGAATGCTGAAGAGCATAAATTCTGAAAACTAAATACTGAGGTGTAAAACGTTCTTGTGTGATGTCGACATCAAGGCATATATATATATTTTTTTTTGTCATTAATGTTTGGGCTAGAAAAGCATGTGCGTGTACCTCTGGATATAAAACTTCACCTTCCCTCACCGGTGAGCCAGACTTGTATCGCAGGCACTGTTTAAAGCACTGTTTAAGATATTACCCTCCTCCCCTTTGGTGCTCCTTTCCCCTGTGCCCTTCCCTCCCTCCCTCCCCAACTTTTTAATTTACAGAAGACTGTGACTGTGAAGGATATTTCAACGGACAGTACATAGGTGAGAAACCATAATGTCTTTACTAACACCCCCTCATGAAAAACATAAAAAAACCCAACACCAAAAAACAAACTACACCCCAAAAACCCACCTCCATATTAAATATTAAAAACTGGTTTACGTACATTAGAATAATTGCCCAGTCATTCATAAACTAGATTATCTCAGTGCAGAGGCATAATTGGACTTCAGCATAGGCAGCACTTTGCATCTCAAGGTGTTAGGAGGGTGGTATTTATTATAGGTTGGGTGCTTGGTTTTCTACCTGATAGGCAAATTTTCCATCTATAAGATTAGCATATGTGCACTGATTTGATTATTTTAAAAAAAAAAAGGTGAGAACAACTCATATTCAGAGACAGATTGACTTAGCTGAACGAGCTTGAAAATTTGGGTAAGTGGAGACATGGTTTAATACATCTTTTCCTCTACAGCTGGTTTACGTAGGAGCTTTAGATTAAGTCGTAAAGAGAAGGAGAACAGTCTGAATGAAGGAAAACGGGCAGATCGGGCAGACACAGCAGAGTTCCTAACGTACGAAGAAGTCACAAAATATCAGCAGCAGCCTGGTGAACAGCAAAGGCTGGTGGTTTTGATTGGTAAGATACACAATCAGTTCCCTCTTCCCTTATCACCTGCACTCCAGATGGCTTCCATTTGGTGTTTGATTTTGAGTTTTGTGGTTCTGGTGGGTTTCTTAGAAGTTTTTCTGGTTTGGTCAGAAGTTGTTAGTTTCTTTTAAATGACATTTTTAGAAACAAACAAACAAACAAAACCTCTAAAAGCCACCAAGCACAAAAACCAACCAAACTCAGTGAATCCTTTCAAAAGCAATGATGCAGGATTATTACTCATTTTTTTCTGATTCACTTTCCATTTTTTAACAAACGTGCATACTTCTGCTGTCAGAACAATTAAAGAAAAGGTAGATCTTTAAAATTGTCTAACAAAATTTTGCAAGAAGGTTTCATTCAGTGTGCTTAATAGCTTTGTGTTAAGCCAGCTTCCCAGGATATTCTAGACATCAATGGTATGATAAAATTGACTGCTAAGATTACACATTTTCCAACTTAGTGCCTGACAAATGTTTGTCCAACAGCTCTTCAAGGATTCAGTTTGTTCCTGATGATGTTCTTCAGAACAGAATGTGGCAGGTCATGAGGTCTCTCATGTACACGTTTCTTCGAGCACACTCCTGTATTGTATTATTTGTGTGAAATTGATATTTATTCTCTTTGCATTATTTCATTCCACACAGAAATCTGTCACTCAGTTCTCTTTTATTAGGTTGCTTGGGGGCCAAATTGAGTGAGCTCAAGCAGAAGGTTGTGTCAGAGAACCCACAGGAGTATGGTGTTGCAGTTCCACGTGAGTAAAATTTACTGACTTTTGTGTGTTGCCACTTTATTCCATACGTGCTGCCTAATATTGTAGTGCTAGCTGCATTCCTGAATGGTAATTTGTGATTTGACTGTTGATGAGATGCGTATTTCAGAAGTACTTCAAATTATTTTCTTTTACAAGATTTTAAATTGTTAATTAGTATATCTAGGGTGTTTGGAGAAGCCAGTCTCAGTGACAGAGAAATTAGTGATTCTGCTGCATGGTTTTGTGGCTGGAGTTATGTAGGAAAAAAATTTCTGGATTATTTTCTACCAAAAAAAAAATCCATCAACGTTTGTATTTCCCAACAAACTACTTTCGCAATCCAGTTAACACTGAGGGTGCTATTTATATAAGCAACATGTCAGGCATACATTTCCATAGCTAGTAGAACTCACATGGGTAATTTTTACTTGAATTTAAACACATACCCAAAAAAATAGCAGATGTCACTTTTATGGCCCAGCATAGATTTGTAAAATGATCACTAGAGCTTCTCCTACAGTAATAATAATTATTTAAAAAATTACAATGTCAAAAGTAAGGGACACACATAATTACGTAAATTTCACAGTAGCATGGGAAAACAGCCAGGGACATTCTGTAAATTCAGAGGCAACATAATAGTACTTTATGTATTTCCTATTTTTAAGTTTCAGAAAAAATGAGAGTCCGATATTCCAAACAGTTAAGAGACCCTCTGTTGCTTCTACCAGGTGTAAGTAGTACACCTCCTGATTTTTGTGTTAGTTATAGCACGCTTGGGAGCAAAACAACTTCATTTTTGGTCTTGCAATTTTTGCTTTACATTTTCTGATAATCTGAATTTTCCCAGTGTGTAACTACCTTGTTTGAGGTCATGAAAATGTGACTGGAAATAAACAGAGAAAATATAGTTGTTCGCAAAGGCTGATCTGTCTCCCATGTCTTGCTTCCATTCTCTTCTAGATACAACCAGGTCAAAAAAGAGTCATGAGAAAGAGGGAGTAGAATACAATTTTGTCTCCAAGCAATCATTTGAGACAGATGTGCAGCAAAACAAGTGAGTTAATTCTAAAATACTGGCATAATTGACTGTATTTCAAAAATATTGCTAGTTAAATCTTACATCATAGAAATACCAAAATGGGTGTAAAGTTGGACTAGCTGTATTAGAAGGGTTCAGCTTTCCAAGGAAAAACCTCTTTATTCAGTCTGGACTGTTAGTGTGAACTCAGGAACTTCAAAAGAAGCAATTTAGAAACACAGAACTAGCAGGAGGATCTTAAGTTAGAATTTAGGCTGCATATCATAAACAGTGTGATGGGTCAGGTTTTAATCCAGTGAAAGCAGATTTAATAGACTTTAGTTGGGCCTACTTGTTCTCCATTTAATATGATGGCTAACAAGTTTTATTTAAAAGTCCACTTTAGACTAGGCTGTGGATATAAAGAACTTTCTGTAAGATCAAGTGTGTTTCCTGAGAATGCAGATTTTTGACTAGTCTCTCCGAAGACGGAAGAACTGGGAGTCCATTTCCTTACCAGCTTTGTTCTAGTTTCTGTGAAAAACATCTTTCTTCTATTAGGCTTGAACATCAGTCAACTAAATTAATGCAGGTTCTTCCCCTATTTGTCAGTACTGCTGATTCGCTGTTAGTGACATGTGAAGACACTTGCTACAAAGCAACCGGAAGGAAAGAAATAATCAGAAAGAAGAAAACTCTTCCCCCCCCCCCCCCGATTCCTCACATTTCATTCCCCCCTATTTGATTACTATGACTTCAGGAAATGTTGTAAGTCAAATATTGCTTGTGGATGGTATTTAAAACTGTTTTGACTTTTTAGATTTGTGGAACATGGAGAATACAAAGAAAATCTGTATGGTACAAGTCTTGAGGCAATCCGGTCTGTGATGGCCAAAAAGAAGGTTTGTTTGGTGGATGTGGTGCCTGAAGTAAGTTCTGCAGCTTATTTTAAAGAAAGGAAGTATTTCTTACTAGGCTGCCAACCTAAGTAACTGACGTCATTCACCATTTGTGGCTACTTGCTCTGCAAAGAACAACGGTGCACTCAGAACTCGTGTTACTAACGTGCCCTGACGCCAGCTAAGCGGAATAGCGTTCTTTAGAAAGCACAGCAGTGTTTACAGTTCCTAGAAACCTGGGTGATACAGCCTAGATGATACTTCATCAGTTCTCACTGTGAGATTTTTTTTTTTTTTCCCCTTGCTGTAGGAGGAATGTGCATCACTATCCTAGCCTGCTCAAGTCCTAGAGAGAATACTTAAAGAGCATGGATGGGGTTTTCTTTCTTGTTCCATCCTATTGCTGGTGTTGCAACCAGTGGCAGTATATCTGCTCTGAATCCCTCTATACTGGGAATTGATCTTTGAAATTTTGATTCAGATTTTGTAATTGACCTAGGAAAAGAATCATAATGCTACCTCAGATGAACTCCAGATTTGAAACTTCAAGTGCTTGGTCTCTTAAGCAAAGCAAACCATGACTTGCCTGTCAACTCAATTCTTTTTATACTTTTCTCAGTACTTTTTGCCATATCCTTGTTCCTGGTATTGCAGCGTAGCAAGGCAAGTGTGCAGTTAGACCATGCTCCAGGAAGCTCAAGTACTCTTGTAAGCTAGCCAGGAGACTGACGTTAACTTTTCTTTTGCAGAGCAAAAGGTTACTGTGGTCAGATGTATGATACACAAAACTTCACACTATGGTGTATACTTATGAAACTGCTGAACCCAGCTTGAGTAGATCATTGACCTAAACAAAAACAACAACAAAAAAGTGTAACAAAAAACATCTGTTCACAGGCAGTAAAGCACTTGAGGACTCCTGAGTTTAAGCCTTACGTTATCTTTGTGAAGCCTCTCATTCCAGAAAACAAAAAACACGTCCTAAAATCTCCCCTGTCAGAAGAAATCTCAGCCCGCCTGGTAAGCATTGTAACTTCAATCTCTTATTTTTTTAACCATTACAGAAGTATTTGGGCTAGCATTATGGTGTGGAAGAGCTCTTCATCTATGACAGCAAGAATAAGAGTGGGGCACTAAGTGGGTCTTGTGCACATACAGCCTTTCAGCTTGAACTTGACAATGAGACTTTTGCCTGTCCTAAAATTGCCTATAGAAGTAACATGAAGCAAAGCGCGCATGTTCCATGTGGGTCTGTGTATATCACTCAAGGCTGCAGCAGGGGAAGCTGCTACTGAATTCAGATAAACTAATAATCACTTTACATTTCTGATGAGCAGCCTCATCAAATGGTGAGGGTAGCCGCCTGTTCCCGATACCTCTAGATTGACACTCGGGTATACACAAAACGCAACACGTGGATGTCTTACTTCCAACTGGTGAATGCGTAAACGTGAACAGAAATAACTGAGAGTGCATAATGTCATTACTTTGGGTAACCTGAACATGAATTTATATGTAACAGAACTTGGTTCACTAGGTAAGTTTTCATGTAAGCCCTTACTTTTCTTGGGAGCAGTGGGTCTAGCATTCCTTTTCAACTTTTGAGGAATACAACTTGAAGATATGTTCAGTTAGGTAGCAACTCTAACATCGTAAAATGCAGTGTCACCATCTTGTGTCCCTCCTGTAGCATGTTTTTTCACCCTCCCTATCACCTCTTGCACTTTGGAAACAGGCTACCAAATCCCAGCCGTAGCATACCACTCCTTGATCTCAGTTGTAATATCTTACGTACTCTTTTTCTAATGGTAGCAGCTCTTGTTTAATTTTCTTCCAAAGTAATGACTCAATGTGCTAATATACTTTAAAATGCTAGTAACTAAAAAAATGCTGTAAATTTCACATCACTTTCTTTTGTTGATCAGCAGGATGAAGAACAGCAGGAAATTATTAATTCAGCAGCATTCATTGAAGAGCAATATGGCCATTTAATTGACACTGTACTGGTGAAAGAAGATCTCCAGAGTGCATGTAATCAGCTGAAAACTGTGTTAGAGAAACTAAGCAAGGATTCATTTTGGGTGCCAGTCAGTTGGGTTAGGTCATAGCTTGTTATCATCTATTTAAGGTCTTGTAAATATATAGAGTGGAAAAAGGACAATATGTCAAATTAAATTCAGAATTGCTAGTCTGTCTAGAAGGTAATGCATAAAGGCTGTGAGAAAAAGTAAACAAAGAGAGAAACTGGCATTCCCCTCCTGAATCGAAATCTGGAATAGCATCTGTCATTTAAAAGTGAATACTCAGACTAAACAGATCAGTAAAAGACTGGAGTGACTTTTAGACTGTAAATAATATATTTTGTACAGTAAAGTTTCACACAGAGGGTCCCACATTTCCAAAGCATTTAAGTAGTACTAGGACACTAATCAGATAGAAATTTTGATCCTTTGTCAGCGTATGTCTGGTGGTACTCAGGAAGGCATTTCCACTGATGTAAGGTTAACTCGATAACAATGAATCATCAGACTACACATCTTTTTTAAAAGGGCAGTTCTTAGGTTCTGACTTGACTATGGAAGACTGTCTGGATTTGCCTCTTGTTTACGAGCACTTCAGTTTACAGTTTAAATGCTTTTAATATTGTCCCCAAATCTGATACTTTAACAGAGTTGCAGGGAGCCAACCAAAAGTCTTTCAGAGGCACTGCTACCACGATCAGAGTCTAGGCTAACATCTTCCTTTCAAGCTTGTCTTCAAGAAAAGGCAGGGAGCTGAATGGAGAGGGGAAAAAAAAAAACCAAACAGGCAGTTTTCTGACAAAACTTCATAATGGGATTGGCAGTAGACAGACTCGTCCTAGCAGAAAGTCTTCCATAATTAGCACATTTCACATTAAACTTTGGGTTTGCCCTGCAGTTGCTGAATGAGGGCTCGAACTTGGTTTTGCAGAGAGCCCCACTGACTGCAAAAAGGACCCACAGTGTAAACTAGCCCAAAATTACGACTCCATTTCACCACCGATCCTTGGTACAAAGTATTTAACAGCTGCAAGGGGAAACGCACAGTGTACTGCACAGAATGTCGAGCTTTTTCTTGCCAATTGTTAATAGATACACTTCCTCACTACAACTCCAAAATTAAGCAGCAGTTCAACTTACTATCTAGAGACACATAGCAATTTTGACTGCTGATAACCATCTGAAATAGGGAATCGATGTCATTGTTCAGGGTGACTCCTGACTGTTAACTACATTTAAGGGAACTTGAGTGCCTCGAAGGCTCACATGCCATTCTGGGGAAGAGAACCTTTTCAATAATATTAGAAAATGGAGTGCTACCTTATCTTATGCTAAGGCAGGAATTTCAGGAAAACTCCATATCGAATGGCATACAGCAAGAACCCAGTATTCTTAAGAAGCGCTGTAATTTAATAGTGAAATATCTGACAGTTGCCAGGAAGATATCTGCAGATACCAGTTGTGCATAAGGGAAGGAGAAATTGTATTTTGTAAGGAACAAAAATATATTTTGCTCATCAGTTTTGGTTTTGGATCTACACCATTGGTGGTGCGTCAAACAAGGCACAGAGTAGTGACTGGAATCCTCCCCTTTCAAAAAAAAAAAAAAAAGAAATAAAATCCACTCCAGTCAGACCAAACAGCCACCTGTAGATTTAAGAAAGCGGACAGTATGCACCACATAAGCTTTTATCCTGCTGTGCTGAAGATTCCATTATCTGGACTCTCCGCTTCTCTATGCTTTTATCGCAAAGACCTGGTGTCTGCAGGATCTTTATGACTAGTTCCTCAAAGGCATGTTGCACTCCAGCCTGTGTCTTGGCACTGGTCTCTGGGGGAGAGGGAAGAAGAGGAAAGGAGAGAAAAAAAAAAATTTATCTTATTTGCAGGAAATATTCCACTATGTAAGACGTTCTTTTGGGACCAGAGAGAAGATATATTTTTTTTAATGAGTGAACTTCCTCTCCATTCTCCCTTAAAGGCAGGCTTAATTTGAATATAATAAATAAAAATGCATCCAGGTCTGAAGCATCTCATTTTTCCACCTAAAATAATTCCACAGCTCCCCATTCTTTCTGTAATGGAGAAAGAGAAATTATTCTCAGGTTGTGATAGTAAATCTACAAGATAATTATCCCATAATAAAGAATGCAAAGCTAATTACACGGTTACCCCTATGTGTTTGTTACAGTTCCTTTTGGAAATCTTGTCAAGAAGCTTCACTTACAAGGTACTTTTTAAACAACAAAACCACACAATTTCTTCCACATCTTTGTATCTTCACACTGTACATTTTATTACTGATCTAAGAATATTGTCTTTTATGTGGATGCAACAGAAACTTGGAAACAAAAAAGGGTCCTCACTGACATCAGTCCGGAGAAGAATTCCAGTCTTCTGGGCTCTGAATCAAGAAATACGGCTAGTTTTAAGAGAACATAAAATTCATACCCACACAGTCTATGAAGTAAATCTCTTTCAGTGTACTTCCAGTTCTAGTCAATGCAGAGCACCTCTGGGCAAAGTTAAAACCTACATCTGTGCATATGAACTAATGCAGCAAAAGGAACTCTGAAATACAATTGCACACTTCATTCACTCTTGACAATTCCAAAATAAACATACAAAGTTTTTGGCACGGTTACATACCTATAAAAAGCAGTGAGTGTTTCCTAGCAAACTGGAGCCCTTCTCTTCTCTCTACTTCACGATCAGGCTGCATAAAAAACATGACTACAATAAGCTACACGTGCCACTTTTAGAAAGTTCCTGGAAAAGCACCATTGCCGAAGTGAGGTTTGTTGAAAAAAAGTCTATAAAACCACGTTATAATCAGCAACTGGATTTTTTTCACTCTACAGCCACCTTACTGCTAGGCAGGCTGTTCGGGCATCAGTTTGAACTGTGGCAACATCAAATCAGTGGAAAATTAATACACTGCAATCTTCTGAATCAACTTGGAGCAAGATACACGTGAGACAGGAGGCTTCAGTAGTCAAATAGCTGAAAAGGCAGGATCTGAAAACTGACAAGATTTGGAAGGGGCAGAAGAGAATCTATCACACTGGAAACCTCTTGTCGTTAAGCAAGCATGAAGCATCTCACTACATAACAGGCAGCTAAGATGTCAAAGCACCCCGAAAACATACAGCAAGCAGTGCAGCTCACACCCACACAGCTGCATGCTCTATAGCCATCTGGAGACCTGAATTCTCTTTCCCCACCACTTGTCCAAAACAGTCTGGTCAAAAAGCGAGCAGCAGTTCTGTTGCGCTGCAGTTAACTTCAGTGCCATACAATGGTATACAGGTCAGAATCTCTGTCTTAAGAAAATCTCTCTCATCGGTTGTATCTCTCCAGAAAAGTTTCTGTTAAAATCTTTAACCTGATCTAAAGATCTTCTAACAAGAAGCCTGCCCAATCTAGGTTCCTCAGTTACAGAGCATATCCCCTCCTCACGCAACATACGTGTTAATTGCAGCACTTAGATCTCACATTTATACTCTGTCATGACTGAACAATCTGTGCAAAACGATAAAAGGATGCATTTCTAAACTGACCTTATCGGTTTTATTGCCAACTAACATCTTCACCGTGTTGCTTTTCGTGGTATACATTTCCAGCTCATTCAGCCAGCTCTCTAGTCCTGAGAAAGTGTCTTTTCTTGTAACATCATACACTAGTAACAGAGGAAAAGGAGTTTAACAGCTGTAGAGTCTTAAACATTTACTTAATTATGGCAGAACTTAGTCCCTACTATCTGACTACTGCCCCCACCCCCAAAAAGCATCATTAGGAAAGATGCATAAAACGGATCCCTCTTCCCAGAGCTGGAGCACAGTGGCTGTCAGTAGGGATTACAGAACACAAACATCCTCTGCGAAGGATCTGTGACTGGAAATCAGACTTACCAGTTGAAATCTTATACCCATTACTAATTCTGAATTGGGACACGTAGAATATTTTAAAATACGCATTTTGTCACCTCATTTACGTGCATGCACTGCTGCTAAAAACATGGATTCTGAGTAAGAAGTGGGCACTGGTAACTTCATAACTGCATTCTATTAATTAGTAAGGTTTAAAAAGCTCTATCATAGTCAGAAAGTATTTTATACAGCAAGGTGTTCAGCCTTACTGTATTTTATTCAGCAAGGTGTTCATAAACCCTGAGAATAAGAATCCCTTCTTTTTCTGATTAGTGGTGTCCCTTCTGTGGGCCTTCCACTACTTGTGCTGCAAACTTCATTTCTTAGAGCAATCACAACAATAATTTTGGGGGAAGAAAAGTAAAAACGTTGTGGGAGGAAAAAACACCAACATGAAGACAAATTTGCCTTATTACCAGAAGCTCACCAAAGTAATAACTACAATTTTGAATGAGCATTATTTCCTGCCAGTGGTTTTGTATACTTGGTGTTTGAGCTAATGATGCAGTCATGGTGTAGATACCATATTTGTTCCTCTGATTCTCTCTGACAACCTCCTTTTCTAAAGAAATACATATTTAGGTAGCATTAAAGACCACACTTTCTGTAACCATGCTGGGTTTTTTCCATACACCTCCTACCTAAAACAACACCTTGAGCTCCTCGGTAGTAACTGGGAGTCAGTGTTCTAAAACGCTCCTGTCCTGCTGTGTCCTACACAGGAGAACAAAAAAAAAAAAGGGAGGGGAGCGGACGGAACACAAATATATTTAGAACAAAAAAGTTATTTGAAATTACACAAGTTGGGGAGAGGGAAAAAAGATCCCACAAAAAGAAGGTCTTGAAGTCTTCCCATCTGCCGAGAACAGAACCTACCCATATGGCAAGCTGTACTGCATGGCCGTCCACCACCATCTTCTTCACTTTAAAATCAACAGCTAAGACGGAAGAAGGGAAGGTTTGTCAGCACCGACTGGCGAGGGCCCAGCCCGGCTGC